CATGACCGATGTAACATCGCAACCAAAAAAAAATGTTAAATTAACCAAGTCATTACTGTACCATGAATTCTCCTATCTCCGACACTTCACAGAAAAAAATAACTCTTGCACGCCTTGCATGCCTATGTTTCAAACTTGTGAACGTGCGAAACCACGCTTTGATCATGAAACCTCGACTAATTATAACTTGACCGCTGTATCGACCGATATATAAAATGTTTACTCACATACCACTCAAAATCTTGGCTGTCGAGCAACAAAAATTCTATCTGCTAAAGAGAAAGTACTGTACCATTTGAAAAAACGATTTATACCAAATAGAACCGGCAATGTTTTTGCCGCAACGCTTGGCAAAACAAACTTCATTGGCGCAATAAATCAACTGCGGCTAGACAGAACTTTCCCTTGCAAAAACATTGACTTAATGTAAATGTCGCATCGCATAAACAGTATTAGAAACTCCTGTCTTCAAAGATATAGTATTTTGGCGTTTGAATGAACGGTTTATGCAAAACAGAACTGGACATATTTTTAGTGTTTGCCTTGACGTTTCGGAGAACAATAAAGTTCACTAATATTGTCGACTCATCGACACGTATTGCTAGACATAACTCGTGCTGGCAGAAAAATTTAAAACTATTGTAAATGGCGCATCTCAGAAACCTTGATAAAAACTCCTGTCTTTAAAGATATAGTATTTTGGCATTTGAATGAATGATTTATGTCAAATAGAACTGGAAATGTTTTTAGTGTTTGCCTTGACATTTCGGAGAACAATAAAGTTCATTAATGTTGTCGACTCGTCGACCCATACTGCTAGACAAAACTCACGCTAGCAGAAACATTTAAAACTATTGTAAATGGCGCATCTCAGAAACCTTGATAAAAACTCCTGTCTTCAAAGACATAGTATTTTAGCGTTTGAATGAACGATTTATGCCAAAGAGAACCGGAGATATCATTTTTTCAACAATTTCCGTGACGCTTTCACGACTCCCATTTATAAACAATTGACTCGCCAGTGCATGCCGAAAGCCTGAACATTTTTCTCCTACACAACATTAAATGTTTGTTTAAGTTAGCGGTTATTGAAGAGCAAGCAAATGTAGGTAACTGAATCATTCGGACTGAGCAAGATTCGCAAAATCAACTCTTTGCCCCCGTGATCGCATGAATTGAAACGCATGTAACTCTACTTGTAGTTACGTTCGATGTTCGATATTACCTTTGTTCGATATGAATCGAGCAAATGATCGATGCATATTTTATGTTGGACAGTCCCATCGATTTGACAACAAACTGCAGAGCAGCAATCGTTACACGTAACCGGTTTCTTACGCGTAATATATGCCATACTAATCACTTCAGTGATTTTCGAGAGAAATGAGATGCGTCTCGCAAGAAATGAGAAACGTCTTGAGAGAAACAAGACAAGAGGTGGTAACTTACTTTTGAGTGGTACTGTAAATAAAGTGGGGAACCCTCTTGTCAAATGTTTAGGCAAAAGGAAGCTATTCCTGGTTAGCCAAGGTCATGTAGCAGTACTAGAGAGATGTACAAATAAATATTTAGAGGTCTGAAATAGGATATTGGTTAAATTTGACTCAGGTCTGAAATAGGGTAAGGGTTTCTTCAAATGCACTGCATAGCCCTGCTGAAAATATTTGGAAGTAAACCCTGCAGGGAAAAAAATCAAATCACTTGAAAGCACTGCAGGATGTATGTGAGGCCGTAGCTTGTAGTACTTGCTTCTATTTAGGAGTGTGAAGATTGAGGAAACAAGTGCCTCAAGAGTTAATGACAGCCCTGGTATAGTGTATGTACTAAAAGCATGGTTAAAGGGCTAATTCTAACTTTCTTAAGTTCACACACCTGGTAAAAAATGTATCTTTTTGTTCTGAAGCAGATGATGGGGTGGAACCATCCACATCATGAGCAATCTGCTCTCCTCTAGGTGCATAATAGTTTGCACTATTTGTGTTTATTGATAACTCAAGTTCAACCTGTAGTCAAACAAACACAACCAACCAAAAAAGGTTTGAAATCATGAAATATGGCATGTGATAGTACACATATAGGGTTAGAAAGAATCCACTTTCAATACAAGTTCAAAAATGAACTTACAAGGCAATACAACACTGATTACTGAATCACATGAAACTTACAGCTACAGTCTCTGTGCACTTGTCTTAATGATCATATCATGTGCTCATTGGTCATTTACAAAACAGAAGCAGTTACTGAACAGCAAAACAAATATACATGTAGAAAAATGCAACTATGGTATGTGCGGCAAATAAAGAAGAGAAACCGGAAACTCATGTCTGCTGGAGAGGGGGCATTGTCAAAGGTCTTTGAAATGCCATGCTCCCATAAGTGACCATCCAAAATGTCACGCCTAGCTGGTCACAACCTGAGGTTCCACTGTATAACATTTTGTTGATGGAGGAGCTGTTACAATTTGAACACTCTTTTGGTGCCTTTGTGACTGCACTGCTAATAACTTCTGAAAATGGAATATTTTTAAGTCTGTTGATCTACTTCTCACACTGAATTCAATTCCCACATTGAATTTTCTTAAATAGACAGCTTAATGAGGATCTTGTCTACTATTATCAGCACCTCTACCTCATCATATATCAGTGATGGAGGCTGTCTAGATTTCTTACCTTCTGCTGCTCTGGCTTAATTCTTGCTCCAATATGAGGTATATTGTCATAAGGTATATCACCAGGACGTACCGGGTACTAAAACAAATATGAGAAGAAATTCCATTATTAAATTTTATCATGTGAACTCTTTTACCAACAGGCATATGATTGATAGAACAGTACAATTCCATGGTTCTTTAAAATAAACTTTTCTCTTGGGACTTCAAGTGGTAAGACAGTACTGTCCATGTACACACTGTACATACATAATCCTCTTCGTATTTAAGTGACACATAAGGTTACAGATCACCAATATCCTTGTCAAAGCCAACTAATAGTTAAAAAGGTTATGCCTAATATCACTGGGTGTTAGAAGGCTTAACTGTTTTTTCTTTCTTTTTTAGAATCTACCGCAAACCCATTAATGGTTTTATGGCAGATTCTTTGATCTGTCCTGGCTAATTTTGTGTGAAATTCTTTCATATACGTCAAGTACAAACACCATTTATGTTACAGAATTCAGCTCTGCCTACAGTGTGTGTAAGTAACAAGTGCTGGGGTCACCTTTAGTATTTCTGTTAACTTGGTGTTATTGCTTCTTAAGTGTATTGTTTGTTCTTCTATTTCAGTTTTTGTAAACTGGTACATGAGGACAGAGCCCATTGCTTTGATTTTTGCATTATCCTTGCACATGGAGCAGTTATAAAAATTGAAAAATCAAGAGGAGGGGTATCACATGGTCTTTGCGAGCATTTGCGTGCAGGCAAGCAGTCCATTTATTTTTGTGAGCAAGAGCAGTGATTAAATTTGTCTTGTGAGCAATGAGAACTTTGGAAAATACCCATAGCGAGCAGTGAGAACTTCGGAAATTTTACACTAAGCAGAATCTCTTATTTGTTTTAAAAAAGGAAACATTGTTTTACACCAAGTAATCTGGCTGACACCTCCAAAACTCAGCAATAGGCGCAAAACAAGGCAAAACATTGAGATCTTATCGCAGTTCAACCAATCCCAGCAGCTTACAGCCAATTATACTTTGTTTGATGCTGTTTGATGCCAAATTATGTCACATAGCTTCACTTGAGTCAGAGGGTGGAAGCTCAAGGAGATCCAAAGTTTTCTAACCCAACCAGTAACCAACATCGTGAACACACCACGAGAAGAAGCTAAAAGCTACCACACTTTGAAGCAGGATTCACAAAATTGGTAGCAATCAAGCACATTTTAATGAGAATACGAGCATGCGAGCAGTTGCAAAAATTCTGCAAGCATGAATGAGAAAGCACTCATCTAATTTTTGTGAGCAGTTCCAGCAAAGGCCAAATTTTGCAAGCACTTTTAAATATAATGGGACCATTCGATACCCCTTAGAGGATTTGAATGAAAAAAGTTCCTGGAAGTATTGATGCCTTACCATTCAACAACTTTGTGTGCAAAAAATACAACATCCTCCTCAGAGGGTATTAAAAACTTCTGCTCCCACCTATGCCTATGGCTACAACTGAGCTCAGAAGGCGGAAGAAAGAAACCTTAAACAGCTCTCAATTCTCTCAAGCAAAGATTGTTAGTAAAACTTATGGCTTATCGCCGTCAGGAGCAGACTTAAATTTCGAAGGAAATATCTTTAGCGGAGTTCAAACTAGTGGAGTTCCTTTATAACTTGACTAACATGAGCTAATTCGTAATACTAAATTTCCATGAGAAAGTTTCAAGGAATTTCTGCATTGATTCGTACGTTTACCATACGTCTACATGCAGTAATACCTGAAACAAGTAGAGCTTGTTGGCCAAAGTCTGGGCCAAATAAACGTCCACCTATGGAAGAATTAGAAAGATCTATGCCTTATAAAACTGCTCTCTTAGTAAATGGTGGAAGTTTGTTTACAATCATGATATAGCAAACCTCCGCCACGACCGGGTCTTCTTCTTCATCCTCCGCCATGTTTTTTCACCATCATGCTTGGGACATGCGCACTTACCACGTGCGGAGAAGCTTCGAAGCTCGCCCCAGGCCTGTGATTGACAATCGCTTGTTTTTGCCCAAATTTTTCTCTTGTTTTCACTGATTTTCTTGAAATTAGCAAATTAAAGACAGCAAAGCTTGATCTGCAGTGTTTAACTTTCAAAAAGATATTGTCATAGACCTTTGTTGTTGAAATACATTGCAAGTCTTGCAAGATTAAGAATATCACGCAAACAGCAGTGATAAACATTGTATTCCAACGCATTTCAATACAGAACTTGACGTTCCGTATGCTAGTATACATACATTTTCAAAAGTGACTGTTACAAT